TAGAGAAAATAATTTACATTTTGTCGTCTATTTTGAACTCATATGAAAACTACCTACTTTTTATTCGCCGCGATTCAAGCCGGAAGACCACGATATTCGGATTGGGCATGTATTATTGGCGAACTTTCGCCAATAATAACATCTGATTCATAAGCAGTATAAAAAACTGCATCGAACGGTATGAAACGAAAAAAAATTATCAAAAAGTTTTATTCGTGGCTTCCCTCAGTCGACTTTTCAGCTAAAATTTTTTTCCTATGAGAGATAATTTTTGGTCAAGTTATGTCCAATAATAATCTCGTATTACATGAGAGCCATCAAAACCACCTTTAGGACAAAAGTTTTCTATAATTTTTTTGTGTCGAAAGAGACAAATCCTACTCCTTTCTCAGTTTTGAATCCCATCCAACATTATGTATTGAAATCTATACGAATATGACAAGAAACGTATTCGCGCCTGTACGATTTCATTTCATACGCGCCTTCGAATAATAACAGCAACAATGTTCATCATCTATTCATTCATTTTTGCCTTTTTTTATTCTTTCAAGTGACTTGTCTGTTTTCCTATTGTGTATTCTTTTTATTTGTTAATCGCCTTTCATTTTCTAACTAATATCATGTTGAACGGTTCTTTAAGATTAATTTCTGTTAATATTCTCATTACTGTTGTTGGTGTTCTGTCATTCAATGCTCATATTGTCCATGGACTACCACCATATACTGAGCGTGGTTTCTCGCGTTTACAAGATCAGAATGGAAACCATTGTGGACACGACGTTGCTACAACACAACCAGTCCATGGAGCACAACTATGCGACCAGGAAAGTCAATGTGACTTAGGAACAGGTCATTTAATTACTCCAGAGTATATACGAAATGATCCACGTTATGCAGGTGGCCATCACATGCCATCACAACGAAGAAAATGAACATTGAAATATATGCAATAATTGCCATTTGTGTGTACTCATTTCTTGCTCTAATTAAATAAACAATTTCCTTTTAATTTTGTGTTGTTGTTACAGGCCTGCATTCATGCATAATTAGAGTTTCTGGTAGACTTAAAATCTGCACTTGATCAATTTTTAACCGTATGTATAAAGTACCCGGTCCTTGATAAAAAAAATTTTTGAACTGTAAACGCTCTTCTATAAACTTTTCAGAGGTCGATTGTTCTCAGGATAGTCAATTTATACTTCCAGTAGTTTCTGCATATAGTATGAAAGAAAATGTTTCAGCTGAAAAAGATCACATGTAACAAAAAAACGATCTTCGAAGTTCTGACGCTCAAAGCACAACAAGCATGACATTTAGAAAAAAAACTGAAACATGTTGAATGATAAAAATCGACCTATTTTCAGAAAAACAGAAAGTACAACATGCAATAAAGCTTGAAAAGCTGATTCTGAGACAACAGATTCAGTACGTACATGGACATTGTCATTGCTCTTCAGAAACCATCATGAAATTAAATACCAGTTGTTTTCACAAATGGGCGAGTTACAACTTTTTCGAGTCTGGGTCTGGAGGTTTCGAGCCCAAGTTCCAGTACGAGTCTTATGAAAAATTAACTCCAGTCACCTCGACTATTTTCCAAAGATAAACTTTCATCTGATTCAGTATTTTTAACCTCAACATAGTTGAAAATCAATAGAGGTGTATCTCAGAGGTCAGTTCTAGAGTCCTTACAATTTATTCTAGTTATTCATGACATGTAGTAAATATGCAATCTAAATTATGACTTTTTGCCAATGATACTACTTTATATAATAGTAGCCTTGCAGAACATTAAAATAAAACTTTTATTTAAAACAGGAGCTTTCGATTACAACTGTAATCATCGTCAGCTACATTAACGTTAAGACCCCCCTCAGAAATGAGGATTTTCGATGAAACGGTCGGTTTT